TCATTTGTGACTGATGCTCAGTGCCGCTGCTAAGCACCGTTTAAGTCATGCATAGGGCGAGGAAAAACATGGTGAGGCTACTGTGTATTTGACCGACAGAGGACGGGACAACATGAGGTGGCTTTTGGGGATGGCTTTGGGGGTGTTTCTTCCTTCCGTGATCTGCTGCTTAGCAAAAGTTTTTGGTGGTTTTTGTTGGTGGTTTGCAAATGGTGATAGGATTGATGGTATAGGGGGTGGTGGTGATGTGGTGACTGGGATGGAGCCAAGAACTTAAGTTATCGGTCCCGGCGGGGAGGGCGGGGGGGATTTAGAAATTTAATGTAGAAAATATCTATTTTAGTTTTACATAGTTTATTGCTGATAACGTGAACGGGTAATTAGATGAATTGTAAGCTTGTTTCGATGCTTTAAAAACAAATTAATGAAATGCCGGTAAACAAATTTGAATAGAAAATTCATTAAAAACTAAAAGTTCGCAACAATCATAAATCATAAATATAATGTATAAAACCATAAATATAACATGATTAAAAAATAATCAAACACATTACACAACAAAAAATTTGAACATCAGAATATGTTATAAATTTATAATTTAACCCTCAAAGTTTAAGAAACTCAATGAATGAAAAAAGAAGAAGAAGTTATTTTGATATAAGTATTAAAAAAGGACGCGATTACTAGCCAATAATTGAAGAAAACAAGCTGCTAGCTAAAAATGTGGTTCAGAGTAAGTAGTTGCTGGCTGAACTGAAACTCTTCTTCATAGATACTTCCTTGTTCGTGATCGATGGTTCTCCGGTGAGATGGTAGCTAGAAAAAATAATAAACAGATTAGGGATTAGGGTAATTCAAAGATTTGAGAATTTTTATTTTTCAAATTTTGCAACTGAGTGATGGGAATGGTGGAAGGAATGAAGAGGATATTTGTTATGTAATTGGATAATGGGATGTTGGATACTAAAACAAATCTTTAGGCCAAGTATAAAATAAGAAACTGATTTTACAAATTGTGGTGGGTTGGTTAATGGTTGGTGGGCTAATGGATTAAAATTAAAATATTTCAACATTTTTTGGGACTTTTGCTGGACATGGGTTTGGGCATTACTGGGCTACAGCCCAATAGTGACCTCCCTTCAATCCGTCTCTGGGTGGTGGTGGTTTTTCTAGTCTTTGGGCAATAGTTTTCTGATGTCGTGCAGGCTGTGCAACAATCTTAGGTTAGTAGGGGTGTTGGTGTTTTTCTAATCTGTGGATGGGTGGTTTTTAGTGGTGATTTGTTGATGATTGTTTCTGGGTGGTGGTGATGTCGGTGTTTTAGATGATGGTGATGGTGGTTCTGTTAATTGTGCATTTTGTCATAGTGCTGTGAGGTGGCATGGCTTTTGGTTGTTGTTGGTGGGGCGACGATATTGATGGGATGGCGGCGCAGTGGTGGTAGTGGTGAGGGTGGGAAGAATGTTTGTAACCAATTATTTAAGTGTTGTGATCAATAAATTGTCAGCTTGTGACTAGTAAATATTATGTCATCCAGAAGAATGTGTGATTGTGACTAAGTTTGTAATTGTGACTCAAAATTTGTAAAAATTGTCACCAGTTAATTTTATAATTTGTGATCTTGAAATAAGTTGAGACATAAAATTTGTGATTTCAATTTTCAACATATAAATCTTTTGATTTGTAATCGAAAAATAATTTGATAATATGTGATCAAGAAATTGTGACCTATAAAAACATAATTGTGGCCATAATATATTTAATTAATTATTTTTTAAATAAATTTTAATCAATATCTGATTTTTGAAATTAAAAACATTGTTCTTAGTTTTCAAATGAGTTATACTTAATCTTAAGAATGTGCATTTTTATCTCGAATCGTACTGAATTAGTATCGAACCAAAATAAGCGATTAAGTGTGGTTTCAATTAATTAAAAAATTTATTCGAGTTCTTAAAATCGAGAATCTGACCACAGTAGTCCAATTTTTGTTTATATATATCTCGATATCAATTCACAATTAATAAGTATCTAAATAATTAACAATTTTCGAGCTTTGAAATAAACATGATGAACATGGATTTGTTCATATGGAAGATTTAAATCTAAGTCAAAAGACAAAATTTCATTTTAACCATGTATTTCATAAATTTTACAAATTTTCAACCAGATGTTATATTAAATTTTATCAAAATTTATTAAAGAGGAAATTTCAAAAAATGTCTATTTTTACCTAGTCATTTGCAAAAATGTCCACCATTACAAAAATGTCTAATTTGGAAGAATTTAGACCAAAATACCCTTATTAACAATTTATAATTTCACACTAAGACAAAAAAATGGACATTTTTGCAATATTGTCATTAGCCAATAAAATTTTGACAAATAACCTACCATATTTATTTCAAAAAGTATACAAGTCGAATCACAATAAATGCTATGTTTTTCATTGATTCAAAAATGTCAAAAACGACATTTTTAAATGTAGAGAAATGTCATTCTAGACAAATGAAACTGTGTTTAAATGTCGAGAATGACATATGAAATATCGAGAAACATTATTTTAATGTTACTTCTCATAGAAGCCACTTTTCAAAATTCGTAACAAATTGATAAAAAAATCAAATGTCGAAAATACCATTTCAAAATGTAGCTTTTCATTAAGGGCATAATAGACAAGTTAGCATTAGATTCAAATGAGTGAATACTTTTCAACTCATACATTTAAAATTGGACATTCTTAAAAATACTCATTTATTAAAAATTTGATAGTAATCCTCACATAGCACGGAATGAAGTGCAGATCTAGCCTCTATCTGAGCCCCATTACATTTTCGTTTAGTTCATTTTTCAAACTTTTTGACCACCAATTCACATTTTTCTGAATCTAACTTCTGACAATGTCAGGCAGGCACATGGTTGAATTATCAATTGCACACACAACATTTCGACCAAATTGACGGCAACACCCCTTTGTTCCGATTTCATTTTACACAATTGCCCTTCAATAATAACATACCGGCCTCCTTCCCTGCACAAACCCAATCCCCCATTGCCTTCCATCTCCAGCGAATCAGTGCACCGAGATCTGGCGAAAAGAACCGAAGCCGCATATTGCCTGTTAAAAGGTTGCTCAGCCGAACAGTGTCGGTTGACCCTTGTGCGAGGCCACGATCGGCGTCCTTACCATGTTCACCCGACGACGCCTCACCTCCGGGCTCGACTTCAAGGTCCATCGGCGCAACAACTTCCTGGGACTCCGATCTGCAGCAAACGAAAAATGGCCTACGACGCTGGCGGTTTTGGTTATTATCCTGAAACCATGGTATGCCTTCAACTCAACTGGTTTCCCCCCCCCCTCCATTTTGCATCCCCTCTACAGAGTTATTGATGCCTGCATGCACATCGTACGTTAGCTGTTGTCGCCATTCACTTGCTTCCCTAGACAAATATTGGTCCCAAATTTGTAGTAGTACAATTTATTTCTTCTCTATTTCCTATTTGCAAAACGGTTATGTGTATGCATTTGTTATCTTACTGTGATCCACCTTCTCCAGAGTCGTGGTTGTTGTTGCTTTTCTGCTTGGAAGTAGATGCATGTTTCAATTACAATAACTTGACGTCGTTTGTGCTGGTATAAAACTACAGAGTTAAAATTCTAACTAGCAAAGGCCCACAATTTTCACGTTGTTGCGCAATGCTTAGGCTTCGCAGGAAGAGACAGGACATCGTCCTGAACTAGTTGCTTGAGTTCTTGTTCAGTAGCAACGTAATTCATTTTTTTTGTCGACATCATCTAGAGTATCCTCCCTTCCTCCTGCATTGTGTGAAATGGGTAGTGCTAAAGTTATCGACTAGCATTGAGATTGGTCTTCCAATTTTGAGTGATTCCATTCAACAGAGATCTACATTTCAATGACACCGTTGCATATGTTTCTGTACCAGTTGCTTATTAATGACTACACCTGTAGTTTTGAAGTATGTTTTTATCAATATCATCCTAATCCCTAAAGAAAGGAACATCTCGCAACCATTCACCCACGCAATTAAACTCAACAAAGCCTAGTTCAATACTTATTCGGGTTGGCTATATCAATGCTCTTCCTGCAGCACCCCTGTGACACCTAAATTATGTATGTGTTCTGCTAGCCCAAATTTTCCCTAATACAACATCGGTCCTATAGCATTCATAGAGCAAATAACATCCATCCTTATTCCCTGTGAAGTGGCAAATTCATTTCTGTACACTTCCAGAAAGTTAATGGATTTAGCACTTGATTGCATGCTTGGAATTGTTTGTAGTAATTTGCATTTATACTTGTGAAAAAATCCCATGTTGCAGTTCACAATATTAGTTTATATTTCACAATATATCAATCCTTCTCATTAACATAAGTATTACCAAGTATCCATGTATGGCTTCACGCTCTTTTATATACAGTTACGGCATAGAAGCTCATATTGCAAGCAATTAGTTGAGCTTTACAAATACGTTCTTACATTGAACTGAAGAGTTGCCACAGTACCATTTCATTCACACTTTGAAGCTCATATTGCAAGCAACTAGTTGAGAGTTACAATTACATTATTACACTGAACTGAAGAGCTGCCACACTACCATTTCATTCACACAAAATAGTACATTTGTGTTTTCTAACAAGTTCTTACAACTATGATGTGCAACATGTGCGCAGAATTCCACGACACAAAATCCGGACGCCATGCCCTCTGCATCATCGAACCCAAACATGGAAAACAAGGTGGAGCCCCGCAAGTGTGGTAGATGGGAACCTCGAGAGCATAAGATCTTCATGTCCGCCGCTGAACACGTCACTACAGAGGAACACCGTCGTGGAAAGTGCTTCTCTTCAACAGGGTGGGAGCGATTACGCGAATTGTTCAACAAAAATGCAGAGAAGAACTGGACTATTGCATAGCTGAAAAACCATTGGTGTGCTATGCGTACGGACCACAAACTACTATTTGAGCTGCTCCAGTCCATGGGAATAGCTTGTGGTCTGAGCACCGGGGGCAGAATTGACGCTCCGGAATGGTGGTGGAAGCAGAAAATTAAGGTAACCACATCTAAACACTCTGATAAGTTATACTATCTTGCTTAGAAACGTTTTGACATTTGAAAAACTCCTTAACACTTTACTAATGCTCCCGTGTTCGATTGTAGGAGAACTCTCGGTATGGAAAGTTCAAGGACAATGACAACACGGAGATCTACCATAAATATAGCCGTCTGTTTGGAGGTAGTTGTGACTCCATGAAATACGCACTGACACCCATGAAGCTGTCGCAACGTGGGTTTGACTTGGGGGCCAACTCCGACTCAGATGATTCGAACGACACGTTACCTATCAATGCCGAGACGACAGATTCGAGCGACGGCCCAACTCCAGGAAGAGCGAGCTCCTCGATGAATATCTCCCTACGTCGAAGCGACGAGAAACGTAAGGAAAAACATGCGAAGGGGAAGCGTAAGAAGTTCGGGGCGAGGGAGGTTTCTGAGTCGGTGGACAACCTCGCTTGCGCATCGAGGGAGATGGCCTCTGCGATCCACGCAAAAGAAGAGGGGCGTATGACTCTCCACGAATGCATAGATGATTTGCTTTCGACTGGGCTTGTCGAAGCCGGGGATGAGTTGCACATGTTCGCGTTGTGGTTCCTACGAAACTTCGAAAATCGTGTTGGGTACAGTGCTGCTAAAACGCCAGAGATGCGCTACAATTGGATCGCGTATTGTTTTGAACGTGACAAAATGTCGGGTTCTGGGAGCCACTGATCATGCTCAGACTGTTTGTGTCATTGCTTTGCTTTCGTTTGAATGCTCTATAAATTATCGCCCATAATGGTTGTTGTAATAATACTTTGTTGTTCGGCTTCTTGTTTGCACGTTTTGCGCACTACTACCATGTGCACTATATATTTCGTACTGCTGCATGTAGTGAAAATATCTGGAGATGCGCTACAATTGGATCGCGTATTGTTTTGAACGTGACAAAATGTCGGGTTCTGGGAGCCACTGATCATGCTCAGACTGTTTGTGTCATTGCTTTGCTTTCGTTTGAATGCTCTATAAATTATCGCCCATAATGGTTGTTGTAATAATACTTTGTTGTTCGGCTTCTTGTTTGCACGTTTTGCGCACTACTACCATGTGCACTATATATTTCGTACTGCTGCATGTAGTGAAAATATCTGCATCTAACTCATTTCCATGCACGTCAACACCTATTTCATTCTCGTGTACTTGTGAACGTCGTAAAGGCTGTCAATAGCTCGCGCTGAACGACAAATTTCAAGCTGAAACATGTCATGCCCACATACACAACTATTACGTATTTTCAATAACGTATATTCCTACAACGTGTAACAATTCAATAACTGCTGGAACGACCTACACTATAAACTTTCATAAGTTTGTATGCTGCGCACATTATTTATTTAAAGTGTTTAGTCCACTCCTGCAACATAGAGAAATAGACTCGTAGCTGTAAGGAAGCAACAACTGATGGAGAAATATGTTCCTATAGGGGACTCAATTATTATGTACATTTACATAATTCTACCTCTTATAGCTTGATGTGATGTCATTGCTTAGGGCAGATAAATAATTTTGGACATAAATAATTGTGTAGGACATAATCAATCTCTGCCTAAACGCTGTCCTCCTACTCTGACAAGTTCACAAAAAGGTCAATGACTCTAGAAAAGCAACTGCTTTTCCCCATAAATAATTGCATAGCACATAATCAACCACTGCCTAAACGCTGTCTTCCTACTCTGACAAGTTCACACAAAGGTCAATGACTGTATTAAAGTAACTAATTTTCCCCATATAATGCGCTCGCGTAGACTCCATAATTATCAACATTGTGTCTGTTGCAGCGAAGATTCCCCACGTGGTACAACGCATATATCGCACAGTCACTGCACCTTCTGCAGGCATGCTAGTGGAATCAATAATTGTCAGCACTAACTGTACAATGTTGATTGCATGCATTGTAAATGCTCCTGCTATAAGAAGGTTATTTCCCTAATTGGCGAAGTAGCGGGTCACGCAACTATAATCCGAATCACAGTTGCAAGTTGACGCTGACGAGTAAAGTGAATTGAGTTTTGTGTCTTTCCTTTGGTTTTTGGAGATGATGGACACGTCCGGTTCGCATACGTCATCAGACATCGATTGTGACATCGTGTCGAACTCCTGTTCGGACGACGGTTCGAATGAAGACGTACTGCATCACTTGGAGGCGGATATGGTGGTGTGGCTACAGTATTGTCGTATCGCTGAGCAGATGGTGCGTCAGTACCTCGTGCCGGATCCGGCCCACCGTTACTTATTTCCTACAACACGAAGCGGCCATATCTTCATGTTGCAGAACATGCATGTGTACCCCCAAACGTGCTTTCAGGAGTTAAGAATGTACCCGCCCATGTTCAGCCACTTTGTACACGTGTTGAGAGATCGCTACGGATTGGAAAACAGTACGAGCATCGATATGTACAAGCAGGTCGGAATGTTTTTGTGTATAATGGCGCACGGGAAGGGATATCGCCAAGTGCAAACGCTGTTTGGACATTCACTGCAGACCGTCGACCATTATTTCAAGCGTGTCCTTCGCACTGTCGGTGCACTGGCAGCAGACATGATCCGGCCTCATGAAAACTACAACCGTGGTGTTGCAAGTCATCACCGTTGTTCCAGGTACGTTTATGTTGCTGCACGTTATCTCGGTGCTCTAGTAATAGTGAACATTATTCTTTTGACGTATTTGACGTGCATTGAAAATGGACGTCGCAGGATTGTATTGGAGTTATCGGCGAGACCCATGTGAGGGCGGTGTTGCCACGGCATAAAAGAATTAACTTCATAGGCCGAAAAGGGGTGCCCACTCAGAACGTCTTGGCCGCATGCGATTTCAACTTGTGCTTCACATTTGTGTTGCCGGGAAGCATGGGCCCCACGCACGACAGCAGCATACTAGCCCGCGCGGTGCATAGTCCAGACATACACTTTCCGGAACCGGCTGACGAAAAATATTACTTGGTGGACTCTGAATTTGCACATCGGCCGGGGTACATGGCACCGTACAAGGGGTCGGATGTACGTTACCACTTCCAAGAATTTCACGATCATGGAAGCGGCCGACGTCGATTTCGTAATGCGCGCGAGAGGTTCAACTTTCATCACTCATCATGTCGAAACATTATTGAGCGTGCGTTCGAAGTTTTGAAGCAACGATGGAAGATTCTGGACAAGATGCCTAGTTATTCATATCGAGCCCAAATCGCTGTTGTCGTGGTAACAATGGGAGTCCATAATTTCCTGCGGCGCAACGGACAGCTCGATGAGGGATTCCGCAGGGCCGAGGAAGTCAACGATGAAGAAGTCGAGGTTGAGTTACCCGATGAGGAAGACGAACTAGCAGCGGAAGAGGATGCCGTTGCAGACGAGAATGTGTCGTGGACCCAGTTACGAGATTACATAGCGCACACCATACGTTGACTAGGTTAACGCTACCTTATTGTTGAAAGCCGGTATGGAAGCATAATTTATCAATGGAAAGCATGTTGTAATGTGCGAATTTGTCTCGATGCAATCTACGCAAAAATATTATTCTCTTCAAAATCATGCAAGCCCGGAAATGAATTCCATACTAACGTGGATAGACGTAACGATTTTTTGTCTTTATTCTCATATGAGCAACGGCATTTTCCATGGGAGGGGCAGTAACGTCATTTTCATAAAATTGTGACTCTCTTCAATTTTGAAATTCAACATTGCAACCCTATGTGACAGGGATAGTCCATGCAAAATAAACGTGGGTCCCATGCGCCCTCCATTTTTGACTGAAGAAAATGAAACGTAATGGAAGAAAATGGGGTCAGACACAAGCCTAATTGAGGCAAAAAGTTGTGTAGTTTTACAAAAATAAAAAACTTTTTTCTCCAACTATTTCTTTACGAACTTTCCTCACTCCAAAATCTCCCCCTGGTTCGGAACGCATCAGATCCACCCCCAATCCTAATTCCCGCAGTGAAACAGCTGATTACTACCAGTACTGTTATATATCGCAAATTCAAACCTCTCAATCTCCATCACTGACATACAATGCAGAAAACGGCTCAGAAGTGGTTCACTGACGGCCCGAGTAACGATCTTGATAGATCCTCTTCTTCTCTGCTTGCGGACTGGAATGCTTATGCCGCTTCCAAGTCTGATGGCGCCGAGTCATCCAGCCTCGGATTCGATCTCGAAGCAGCCGTTCGTACCGCCAATGATAAAGTATCTGGCACTTTCAACGTGTAAGTTGTGGAATTTGTGCATTTGGTGCTGTTGTTTATAGCATTATGACTATTTTCTTGAGATTTATGTGCCGTTTATCATATGCGCTTGCGTACTTTTTATTTGACGCTGTTGTTATATGATCGATAAAGAATTTTTTTACATGAACTTGTTAGGTTTTAATGTCAGTTTAAGTAATTGTCGAAAGAACGAGTACATGTGTTTTTTTTTTTTTTATTTGCATTGTGTGATCGATGTGTTCTCTGTTGGCAATTAATGGCTTAACGTCAGACTAGGAGATAGTTCAATTTTAAAAATTTGGATTTTGATGCAAATGTTACTTGCCATTTCAGCCAAAGTTGGGTTATAATCGTATTCCCCAACTAATGATGTTTATGACAAAACTTCAAATTTTGCTGAAATTTATGTATTATTCCTATTGAATTATTTTTAGATCAAAAAGTTCTACCGTTCGAAGATACTTCAGAGAAGTTCAAATTCTCTTAAAATACGTTGTCTGTTTGTTAAATCCTAATTACTATACTGCCATTCTCTTTGGAAGAATATGATTCACATGGTATTAATTGATTACCCTATATTTTATTTCAAATTATAGGTACTATTTTGCCTGCAATCCACTTGGCATGAGATATTACCCAACCATCACCATACCAGTGTCTCACTGGAAAAATATTTTTCTTGGATTTAATGTGTGGCATTTAATTTTGTAATATCCATTTGTTGCTAAGTGGATAATATATACTAGTCATTCAAATTCTACACATAGATTGATGACATCTATTCATTTGCTTTTGAAGAACGTGATCGTATGATAGTTATTTATAACATGCACAAAAGAGGATACCAAATGAGATGTTTTATAGCATTCTAATTGTAATTTGCTTCATGCATGATCACATGTATGGATTTTCTTTTGAAGGTTTATACATTTTTTTCCTTCTGCAAACAAAGGCTTATTTGTTGTTCTTGTTCTTTGGGATCAATAAGTCCAACATAGGTTGCAACTGCCTTGTACAAGAAAATGCGTTTGTGACATGTCCTGTATCATTGTGGTCTGTAATTAAGAATGAGTAATTGGGTAATTTACAATGTACTTTCTCAAAAACTGCTCAAATGGAAGAATAGAACTTTTGGATTCTTTCGGCCTTCACGTGTTCTTGTACATTTGCGCATCATCGCGCATATATTAATTCAGATTCATTCTGGCTGTTAGTTATAGAATTTTATAGAAATAGTTGCCTGAGTTTTGTTTGCTTTAAAAGGATGAGATTGACCATAACACTTATTATGGCACAAATTTTATTTTATTTTTTATTTCTTTTCTTTGTAAAGTTGCTAAAAATCCAGTAGTAAAGACAAATTCAAATGAAGTATATATTTAATTGTTTCTAAGCTTCACCGTAAGTGTTTATGTAATAGGAAATTTTCTTGTCCATCTTTTATGAAATTATTAGTATAAAAATTCCTGAAGTAATTTTAAGTTTAGAAGATATATCCTTGTATCAATTTTGGTGGGGGGGGGGGGGGTTGGAATTCACTCATATGAAGAGAGAATGGATGGCCTGCTGAATGACTTCTATTTGCAATTCCTTTTATTTCTTCAATTTATAGCTATTTCCATTCACAGTTTTCTATCTGGTGGGGAATTTCTTTACATATGTGAATTTCTAGGGGACCGTAGTTTTGTTGCCACATTAAATTACATAATTATTCTGTGTTTCTTTACGGTTTGTTTTGTTTGTTTTTATTAACGCACCGATATACTTGCACAGGGTTTCTAAAGGTGTAATGGATTTGCCAGGGAACTTTAACTCTGCTACGAGCAATGTCCCTTCTGCAAAGTCACTGATGTACTTTGGATTGCTCCTTGCTGCTGGTGTCTTCTTTATCTTTATTGCATTCACTATATTCCTTCCTGTAATGGTGCTGTCACCTCAGAAGTTTGCTATCTGCTTCACTATTGGATGTGCCTTCATCATTGGTTCGTTCTTTGTTCTAAAAGGTCCAAAAAATCAGCTTAGTCATATGTTATCAAAAGAGGTATCTCACTTAAACTTTTCTTAATTGGAGGTTTTTCTTTTAATTGTATTTTCTAGTATATAAATGTTTATTAGGGGTGGGCTCCGTCAAGTTCTGAAGAGAACCGAACGGAACCGAGTATCATTAAGTATCTTAAAAGTTGATGCATGGGTTCGATTTCCAATTTTTGAGCCATACCATTTCCATGTAATGAAGAATTCTTGGCACCCATTTTCAAGAAGAAAATCAGAAAAATTTTAAATTTACGAAGACTAATCAAACGCAATACCAGCCACACACACACACACATTATATATAAAGAAAATCAAGTTAAACTCTTTTTTCGGTTATGGGTATTAGAACTGAGAACTGGACAGGAACCGGTAAGTTCTCGGTATTAATACCCAGAACCAAACATGAGCAAAACTGGACCAAACCGAGAAGTTCAGTCCAGTACTTTCTCCTGACCCTATAATTTATGCTAGTCGGCATTTTTGCTCCTTCCTCCTGATGAATGCTTTGGCCGGCCACTTTTGTTTTTCTGTTATATTTGTTCCTTTTCAGAGGCTTCCTTTTACATTGGGATTTATCGGCAGCATGGCGGGTACGATTTATGTATCCATGGTGCTTCACAGTTATGTTCTTTCTGTCTTCTTCTCTGTGCTACAGGTATCAAATCCCTCTTTCATACTCTGAAGAGAGAGCACTCAATATGACTCGTTAAACATGAAAGTTTTTTGCACTTTATGCTATTTTATTTATTTATTTTGAAATAATTTTGACTCCGGTTAAGCCAGTTCAGGAACAGTGCAGTCAAAACTGGTAGATCATTGTTGCATCAATATTTACATAATTGCAATTGAGAGTCTTATTTTGTTTCCTTCTTGTGCTGGATGATAGCCTTGAGATCTTTACTTATTGTGTCTCCCCTTGAAATGTGATACAATGTTCTTACCCTTAAAAAAAATAAATAATAATACATAGACAAACAAACGAAGGAGGAAATTTGATAAAACATGCCGTATTTAGCCCCTATTGAATTCACAAACAAGTATACACTGAGCAATGTTGATTTAGCTTAGTATTTGCATCTTTGTTATCTGATATCATGAAGAAAAATAGGCATTCTTAATCATAAAATGTAAACAAGAACATATCCAATATATTGCAAGAGCATGAAATAGCTTAAAATTGTAGAAATTTGAGTCACATAATATACGCTATCGTGCATCTCGTATTGGTTCAAATTTTTGACACTTCCTAATCTTTTCAGGTCCTTGCACTGTCTTACTATGCAATCTCCTACTTCCCCGGTGGATCAGCTGGGATGAAGTTTCTCTCTTCGACCCTCATGTCTTCAGTACTCAGATGCTTTGGCAGGTGACACTGCAATGTTGGTTGTCCGTGAGAATTTTGTTATTTTACAAATTATATTATAACATATGGGATATGTTATTGGTTGGAACAGAAAGTAGTGCATAGCTTTCATAGTTATCTGATTTATTGCTTTATGAATTTTGTTTGGGGAATGCTTGATTCGTAGTATTAGATAGACCTAAATGTTTAAGTTAAAAAGTGTACAAAAAATCATCTTACCAAGCATACCATTAATTATTGACCTGAGAAAGCCATTTGAGTAACTTCCTTCAATCCTCACCCCTCAACCTGAAATTCATTTTTCTTTAAATGGTAGAATGAAAGGGCCTTTTTCTTAGGGTGCGTTTGATTGTAAGTATGGAATTTACCTAGGACTTGTTTGTATGGAAATTGTCTATTAAATGTGTTTAATTGATTTAATTTTCAATCTAGAAAATATTATACTTGTTCATTTTTTATTGGTGGTAGACGAGAGAGAGAGAGAGAGAGAGAGAGAGAGCGAATTCCATGGAAAATAAAATTATACTCCCTATAAAGAAAATATTTTCTTTGATTTTGAGAAAAATATGGTTACGTGACCAAAAGTATGAAAATGTTTTCTATGAAAAAAAAAAAGAAAAATCAAACAGCACAAAAGTAAGAATTTGGGTGGAAAAAACACATTTTTCATAGAAAATATTGGCAATCAAACACTCCTTTAATCTTCTACTAAAAACATTCACACATTTTATTGACAGAAGTTCTTGTTTTCAAATTTGTCATTCCTTGTCTTAATTTTGAATTTACTTCTTGAAGACAAAAACGTTTTTAGAAATGTTTACATTTTGAATCGTATTGAATAAAAATCACATAACCCTCCTGATCCTTTTTGAATAGTCAATAAATTTATACCTCATCAGGTTGAATTATATTGTCCTTCAATTAATTTTGACTCTTTTATCTCTTGGTAGTAATGCATAAAATTATGTAGAATCTTTCAACAAACATGACCTAGAACCATTTTTCCATTATCAAATTGAACCACCGTTGTTAGCATTATTAACGTAATATGTTGACATGTTAGAATTAACGAATAACTCATGTGCATGTTCATCCCATTGTCCTCCTTTTCGGAGTCCAACATCCCCGATCTTCAATTGACAAGACTTCCCAAATTCATCATCGAGCCAACTAAATCAAATGACTTTTCGGTTTGACATTGAACTTGGTGAAATCAAAATATTTGTGGGTGATCTCTCTTTACTAAAAATAAAAAAAATAAAAAAAATGTTGAACCCCAACTTTAAGGGTCCCCCACCGCTCCTGCCCTGGAGCATCGTGAGGGAGGTAAATCGCAGGTTATGCCTCTAAGGGTACAGGGTGGAAGGTTGCTTGTACACTTACACTTACCCAAGAGCCAAATCCATATTTCAGGATTCGAACCCTTGACGTAGCAACCTCAAGCAAAGCTGGATTTCTCCACCCTCCTCTTTTACCACTTGGAGATGTGCCCTGGGGGCATGATCTCTCTTTACTATATTTGGCTCTGGATTGCAAACGAACTAATTCCTCCTAACCCCTCCCCCCATTCAAACCTAACACACCACCTTAGTATGGGCTGTTACTCTAAATTGAAATGACCACAATTAAACCAATCTGCAAAAATTATACTATCATCATATGAATGCCCAAAAGAGTGTTGCTGGAATGGAGCGTAACCCGTCTTATAAAAATACTTTTTTTTTTAAATTATCGTGAGTGTTCGGGTCAGTTTACGTGCATGTGGACTAATCCCACGGGGCATTAGGCACTTTTTAAAACAATGTATAAACTAGAACCACGTTTATACGCTGTTTTAAACATTATCTTCAAGCTGGACAAGCAAAAGAAAAAAGTGAAAACAACTATACATTCTGACTTTTCCCTGACTTAGGTCTCTACCGCACTGAAAATTGAGAGAAAGTGACCTACAGCCTCATTCGTCCGTTAAAAGGATGGGTGATGTGGACTTTCTTTGTCCATTCATTAATGTCTGAGGTTAGTGATAGCGGTGGAAGGAGTTATTAGATTAACAAGTAAATTAGAAAATGAATTTTAAAATAAGAAAATGTTGGCATAATTTTGATTCTTCCACACATTAAATTTGTGTTTTCTCTCTAATATCTACTATCATTTGGTTAATATGACGTTTCACTTCTAAAGTTTCTCTTGAAAGTTGTTGCTTTTTCACTGAGATTAATGCTACAAACCTTGTGTATTAAGAGATCTTAGCCATACAAATATATACCTTCCTAATATATAATAGAATTAGATGAAATAAAATATGCCATCAAATACACTGTTTAATATTTTCTTAATTCATTGCAAATATCCCACCAAATAGAATTCAATATTTAACATAATAACATCCAATTTCGACAGAGACTCCGAGTGTGATGCCTCAAAAAGGGGAAATAACACATAAAGTACGTTTAGAAGTAATTAGAACAAAAGGATATTAATTCAATTATTCAAATAAATGGATCAGTCCGAATATTTTAATACCTAGAACCACAAATTACTCTTTAGATATTTTGTAAAATGAAGTTATTTTGATTATGTAATAACAAGAACCAAACTCAATTTTTAATTGTCAATTCCAATTTGATTTCTGTCCTACCCATAATAATAATAATAATAATAATAATAATAATAATAATAATAATAATAATAATAATAATAAGTTTACCTTCGTAATATATAACAAAATCAGATGAAATAAAATATTCCACCAAATATATACTTTAATATTTTCTTGATTCATAGCAAATATGCCACCAAATAGAATTCAATATTTACCATAATAACATCCCATTCCGATGGAGACTCTAAGTGTGATGCCTCAAAAAGAGTTTGGAGGGGAAATAACGCATGAGTAGCCGTAGCTGGAAGCCGTCGCCGGAGAGCACCGTCGACAATGCTGTTGCGATCTACTGCTATGAGATCTGGAGATGGTGCAGTCTGTCTATTGCACTGCTCACGAAAAGTTGCCTCTCTATCACTCTGCGTGCAGCGATGTCGCCGTTCATTGCACTGTCGTGCGCAATCGACGCTGCTAATGGCATTAGTGGATCGTGGTAGTGCTGATGGAGTTGGTGGTTCGTAGCAAGTGCAGTGATGCCACTATGACTACAATTGATGGGATCCAATTCTAGATAGTTCCGCAGTGCTCTCGGTCAATTGGGACTGTTGAGGTGGTGATGATGTGTGGTTGTAGTTTTAGTGACAGTGGTTTTGGTGATGTGGTGGTTGTAATTGGATTTGGTCGATTGTAGTTCTAGCCGCAATGGATTTGGATGGTGATGCGATGGTCTTGGCGATTCGATCTGTTGAGTTGGTGGTGGTTTTGGTAATGTGGTGGAGGTGATTGGATCTAGTGGGTTGTTGTTCTAGCGATGGTGGTTTTGGATGGGAGTTTGGGCATAGTGGTGGTGGGCTTTCTCTTACTTTTGGGGTGATGGTGACTGTGATGTTGGTTGGCGGTGGTGGTCGTGGAAGTGGCGACGGTGGTTGTGGATGGATGGGTGGCAGGGGCGATGGTGGTGGTGCTAGTCCAATCTGATTGTTGGTGGTGTGGTGTAGACGGCGATGGTGGTGGTGGTTTTTTTTGCTAAATTGGTGTTTGTTTTGTTGACAATATTGGTAGCAGTGCAGTCGATGGTGTGGTGCAAGCGGCAATTGCACGATAGTGATTTGTGATTGGTGTTTGTTTTATTGACGGTGTGGTGCAATCGACGATTGAATTGTGGTGATTTGTGACCAAGATTAGTGCTGGATGGGACCGGTGGTAGGGATGATCATAAAGTTTGGTTTGGTCTGTGACCTTAAAAATTGACTATCTGTGACAAAAAGGAATAATCTGTGACCTCAACGATTTGGTCCGTGACCTTAAAATTTGACGATCTGTGACTAAAACAATAATACGTGACCTCAACGATTTGGTCCGTGATCTTAAAATTTGATAATGTGTGACTAAAAAAATCTGTGACCTATAAAATTTTCGATTTGTGACCTTGAAATAATTCGTGACCAAATCATTTGATAATATGTGATTGATATATAAATCTGTGAAATCTGTGACCATTATTTGTTTAACTGTGACTTTAATATATTTATTTAATAAATAATTTTAATTAATTAAATACAAACCTGAATTTTGAATTTTCAAACTTCTTACCTGACTTTTGAAATAGTGTAAAGAATACACCTTAAATATGAATTTTTCCCTTCAAAAAAATGGGTTGGCCCAAATATTTTAATCCTTGAAACCACAAATTACTCTTCAAATATTTTGTAGAATGGAGCTATTCTGATCATGTAATTGCTGGAACCATACACAAATTTGAATTGTCAATTCCAATTTGGATTCAGCTATACCCATAATTTATTTTTATTTTTTTAATGTTTACCTTCCTAATATATAACAGAATTAGACGAAATAAAATATGCCACTGGACAAATATTTTAATATTTTCTTAATTCATTGCAAATATGCCACCAAATAAAATCCAATATTTAGCATAATAACATCCAATTTCGACGGGAACTCTGAGTGTGATGCCTCAAAAAAATTTGGGAGGGGAAAAAACACGTAAAGTATGTTTAGATCTAACTATGAACAAAAAGGATATTGATTCAATTATTCAAATAAATGAATCTGATTAAGTAGAGTACATGTGCCTTACAAACTTGCTCCTGTCAATTCATTGGGTTAGAGTCAATAAATTGTAAAACCTAAAAAAGAAGAACAAATTCAATTTCAGAAATTGGGGGCTCATGGATTCAGTTCAAGAATCATGAACTGGCTCAGATTCGGACTTTGACTCATTTAGTTATCGATTCTAAATTTAAATTCCTAATTATTATTTTTTTATACAAAACCAAACAAATATCTCAAAATGCATTTGCTTTGTTGTTTTTAGGTTTTAGTTTCGCAAAACACTGAAAATGTGTGTTGCCTGATATTTTTAAAAATACATTTTCGACAACAAAATTAACTTCTAATATAAAACTCAAAATGATTTTTTGACGTTTCGAGTGTATACAGTAAATTTTTTTGAATACACTCAAAACATGAAAACACAAGCGTCTAAATAAAATTTTATTTTAAAAAATAAAAAAATATAAATATAAAATCCTAACAAATAAATTTTTTTATTTTTTTTTAAAATGAAAATTTTGAAAAAATAAATCTACAATTTAAAAAAACTAAAATTCTAAATAAACATAATTATAAAAAAT